GATTAGAGGTTTCTCCATGTATTACCCCACCACAGCAGTTACTACATATCTTCCCCACTAGACTAGAAGCTGTGGATGCTAAGAACCATATTTTGTTCACTGCCATATGCCCTCTATCTAGCTAATGGAGCCAGGCATATAGAAGATGCTACAAAAAAAAATAGTTTGGATGAATGAATGAATGAAGGCTGATTTTATATCCATTGCTCTATTCTGAAAACTGCTTTCTTTATAACTTACTGTTCGTCATCTATTTTCCCCTATTAGAATGTAAGATGCCTATGAAAACATATTATTGCATTTTGTTCACTGCTGGATTCTCAAAGCCTGGGACAATGCCTGGGATATACTATGTGTCCAATAAGTACCTGTTGGTGAATGAACAAATGATAGCCATGTGGACAAGCAAATTACACCTCTTTTGTGCCCTCACTGTATTTCTTCTTTCTGATGCTGATCTCAGTAAGATAATGCTCAAGAACAATCCAACACTGTTACGTGGGTGAGTGGCTGAGAGTGGAATGCTCTGGCTTTCTGAGGTAAATATTCACTAGCAGCTGAATGCTTATCAGAGAACCACAGGAATGCTGTCTCCAACACCACTGCCTGCAGGAAGGAGGCACTGGTGGCCTATGGACTCTACACTTCATAGCTTTGGTCCAGCACCAGCAAAATAGTGATGCAAGACCATCGTGCTCTTGAGTTCTGTCATATTCATCTCTTTCACCAGGATGCAACTCTTGAGAAGCAGAAAAAGTAGCTGGCTTGTAATAACCATTAGCTTGATTTTCTTAGGAATCAAGGGTCTCTTGCCAGAATTCTTCTAGATCAAATGCATAGTTTTTGCTTTCTGTAAACCAGTATTATGTGGTCCATTGTTTTTTCTTTTCTTTTTTTTTTTGAAACAGTCTCGCTTTGTAGCCAGGCGCCAGGCTGGAGTGCAGGGGCGCAATCTCGGCCTCCTGGGTTCAAGCGATCCTCTTGCCTCAGCCTCCTGAGTAGCTGGGACTACAGGCGCATGCCACCACACCCAGCTAATTTTTGTATTTTTAGTAGAGACAGGGTTTCACCATGTTGGCCAGGATGGTCTCGATCTCTTGACCTCGTGATCCACCCGCCTCGGCCTCCCAAAGTGCTGGGTTCATAGGCGTGAGCCACCGCGCCCGGCCCATTGTTTTCTTTTAGTATAAAAGTAACCATCATATTAAGAAAATTTCGAATATGGAAAAAACAGAAAAAGTCACCTCTAATTTTACCACACTCACAAAATTATGATTGGTATATATGTGCATTTTCTTTTTCCCTGTGCTTGTGTATATATGTATTAGGCATATTTATGTACACATATCATACTAGTTTTTTTTTTTTCTTGAGAAGGCGTTTTGCTTTTGTTGCCCAGGCTAGAGTGCAATGGTGTGATCTTGGCTCAACCTCTGCCTCCCGGGTTCAAGTGATTCTCTTGCCTCAGCCTCCCGAGTAGCTGGGATGACAAGCATGCACCACCATGACCAGCTAATTTTGCATTTTTAGTAGAGATGGGGTTTCTCCACGTTGGTCAGAATAGTCTCAAACTCCTGACTTCTGGTGATCTGCCTGTCTCAGCCTCCCAAAGTGCTGGGATTACAGGTGTGAGCCACCTTGTCCGGCCCAGTATATGTTTTTTCACTCAACATCATGCCATATTTGTATCACAGGGACTTCGTAACCATCCATCTAACTACTTATTGAGGCAAGGTGCAGTGGCTTATGCCTGCAATCCCAACACTTTGAAAGGTTCAGGCAAGAGGACGGCTTGAACTCAAGAGTTGGAGACCAGCTTAAGCAACATAGTGAGATCCATCCATAAAAGTTATAGTTCTGAGGTCAGGAGTTTGAAATCAGCCTGGCCAACATGGTGAAACCTGTCTCTACTAAAAAAGTACAAAAATTAGCCACGTGTGGTGGCACGTTCCTGTAATCCCAGCTACTCCAGAGGCTGAGGCCTTTTTCTCCCCCTAAGCATGAACTTCTTATGGTCAAGTGATAACCTTCTTGACAACCCTAGGGGTTGGTACTAATTATTATAAACACATTTTATTAGAAAAAAACCCTGACGCTTAGGGAGGGTAAGTAACTTGTCTGAGCCTCAATTTGAACCCAGGGAGCACCCCTTGTTAACCAGCCAGTAAGATGTGATTCCTTTTGCTATCTATCTCCTCTGGGCAAGTCAAGAGTAAAAGCAAAGAGTAAATATACTGATGCTTTTCAGCTGAGGAGAAAGATATTCTATGACCTACTGCTTCCAACTGCTCACATTTGAATGACTTTGCCACAGTGGCCCAGGGAGGAAAAAAGGATGACTGAATCTAAAACCCTAAAGCTAGAACACATTTCAGGTAGTGATGTATGTGAACTGCCACCCCTCCCTGCCCAGATTCTTTTAAAGTCTGAAGCAACTTGGCTAGATTGCTCATTTAGGCAAGCCAAGCAAGCTTGGGTTGTCATTTCCCATCATGTGCTGAAAGAATGGTCATAATTACACAAGTCTATCATTAACCTCTTTCATCATGTCTTCTAAGCAGTGCCTGATGTGATTATTAAAACAAGCCATGTTGGCCGGGCGATGTAGCTCATGCCTGTAATCCCAGCACTTTGGGAGGCTGAGGCGGGCGGATCACGAGGTCAGGAGATCGAGACCAGCCTGGTCAACAAGGTGAAACGCTGTCTCTACTAAAAATACAAAAATTAGCCAGGCGTGGTGGCAGGCGCCAGTAATCCCAGCTACTAGGGAGGCTGAGGCACGAGAATGCTTCAACCCAGGAGATGGAGATTGCAGTGAGCCAAGATTGTGCCACTGCACTCCAGCCTGAGCAACAGAGTAAGACTTTGTCTTGAGAAAAGAAAAAAAAAAAGATGAGGAAAGGTTAATAGTAAACCTTCACATTTGCAGCATGGTTTTTGTTGTTTTCTTTTTCTTTTTGTTTTTTGAGTTGGAGTCTTGCTCTGTCACCCAGGTTGGAGTGCAATGGTGCCCTTTCGGCTCACTTTAACCTCTGCCTCCCGGGTTTGAGTGATTCTCCTGCCTCAGCCTCCTGAGTAGCTGGGATTACAGGCATGTGCCACCACACCCAGCTAATTTTTGTATTTTTAGTAGAGACACGGTTTCACCAACGTTGGCCAGGATAGTCTTGATCTCTTGACCTCGTGATCAGCCCACCTCGGTCCCCCAAAGTGCTGGGATTACAGACGTGAGCCACTGCACCCAGCTGTCCTTTCCTCATCTAAGCAAAACATTTAAAAATGTTTTATTGCTAAAAAATGCTAAAAAGTGAGGGGATGGTGGTGAGGGGCATAGCTGCACTGACTTACTATACTGTGAACCATTTCCCAGGGAAGGTAAAACCTGGACGTTTACGTTTTTCATACAAACATGCAACCAATATCCAATGATTGTCTCTATTCTCGGTATTGCAGAGAGTGTGGGACAGAGAAAGGAAAAGATAAGCAGGTGCTTTATGTATACATCTATTTTCCCAAAGCAGCCACTGAAACCATGTTAACTGAAATAAAACATCAAGTGCAGTCAGTCTGCAAATGGAGTAAAGGAACACACTAGATCAGAAAGCCCAGGTGCTTCCAGTGTTGACCTGCAACACAGAGATGCTAAGCTGATTGCTAATAAGGAGGAAATATACAGTGGTCTATTAAGTGTGCAATAGTATTATGTCCAAAGAAGATACCTTTTTTTTTGAGACGAAGTCTTGCTCTGTCATCCACGCTGGAGTGCAGCGGCACAATCTTGGCTCACTGCAACCTCCGCCTCCTGGGTTCGAGCAATGCTCCTGTCTCAGCCTCCCATGTAGCTGGGATTACAGAGGCCTGCCATCATGCCTGGCTACTTTTTGCATTTTTAGTAGAGATGGGTATCCCCATTTTGGCCAGGTTGGTTTCAAACTCCTGACCTCAAGCCATCTGCCCGCCTTGGGCTCCCAAACTGTTGGGATTACAGGCATGAGCCACTGCACGTGGTTGAAAAATACTCATATATATTCCTTAATTTAAAAATGTTTTATTGCTAAAAAATGCTAAAAAGTGAGCACATGCTGTTTGAAAAATGGTACCAAAACCAAATTAGTGAATTAAAAAAAAAAAAAGTTTTAAAAAGCAGTATCTCTGAAGCCCAATGAGGAATGCCTGGCACTAACTTTTTTTTTTTTTTTTTTGAGATGGGGTCTTGTTCTTTCGCCCAGGCTGGAATGCAGTTAACTTGGCTCACTGCAACCTCTGTCTCCTGGGTCCAAGTGATTCTCCTACCTCAGCCTCCCGAGTAGCTGGGACTATAGGTGTGCACCACCATGCCCGTGTAATTTTTGTATATTTAGTAGAGATGGGTTTCACTATATTGACCAAGCAGGTCTTGAACTCCTGACCTCAAGTGATCCACCCACATTGGCCTCCCAAAGTGCTGGGATTACAGGCCTTATTAATTTTTGCTTCTGAATACAGCAACTTCAGAACACTTCTGATAAGTGATGGTTAATCTGCATCACAAACCCTCACTCCACTAACAAGAGTTAACCATTGAACAGAGATTAAACAGAGTGCTGTGTGGATGTAACTGCAGCAATAAAGATTAGGGAAGATGATTCTTTACACTTGCTTTACTTTTATTTTTTAGATTTCCTTTACTTACATTCCTGATTCCCTCACCAACAGTAATCCTCATTTTTATAGAAGGGAAGAGAGGTACACAGAGGTTATAGACTTGGATCCAAAGAAAATGACCGAGTCCAAACTGGGGCCAAGCCTGCCAATACTCTCAGCAGGAGTTTTCTCCTCTAACACTCTTCCTCTATTTGCCATGATGCCCCATACAAAGGGAGTTTTTCATTGTTTCCTTAAGGTTAACTGCTCTGGATGCTCTCAGTTCAAATAAGATGGTTTTAAAATTCCCCTCCTTGCATTACAGCAAAGAAGAAGAAAGGAGAAATTCAAATTAAAACAAATCATATATACAAATATCAAGGTTCATAAGCTGGATGATTTAATTCAATCAATTTAACAAGGCCCAAAGTGAAACATGGTAATGAAAATGAAGACACAGCAATATTTTCCTCAAGAAAATAGACATCTGGAAGAAAAAATATTTCTTAAAAAAAGTTTATTTGGAAAAGTCAGCCTCTTACACAAGGTTTTGTATCTATACTTTTACTCTGTCAATTACAGTGGTATTTTAAATGCATTGAATATAATTCATTGAATATATCTTTCTGCCTCGATTTAAGTGATATAAGGTTTAAAAAATATTTACAGTTTTCATTCTGGTCCATCTTCCCTCCTTATCCTTATACTGAACCCATTTCTCTGCTTTTCAGGTAAATGAAAACGGACACAAAATTTTTAGGTTTGTGTGGAGAGTAAGAATGCATCCAATAATTCTAAGCATAACAATTTTCTTTAAGGCTTCTCTGAAAAAAGAGAAGGAATCACTTATTAAAACTAAGCACACTTAGCAACTTCTCTCCCAATTTTATCTTTATTGGTTTGCCTGGTGCCAAATTTTTCTGGCCCTTATAAATTTGCAAACAAAAAAAAAAAAAAAGAGAGAAAAAAAAAAAACCCCAACACCAAACACGTACACCTATCTCACACACAGCTCTAAGCTAGAAGCAGATATAAATGGGACCACTGTGAATCAAAGGGGAAAAATTCCAGGAAAAAAAAATTCCAATAGTCTCACAGTTTAACTGAGGTTTTGGAAAAACCTAAGTGAATTCAGCTGATGTTTGAAATATCTGTCTATATTTAATTAGATGTGTTGTATTTACCAAGGAGGCACAAATATGTAGCTTTGAAGATTTTAATACTAACTTTTCCAGTGAGAAAAATAATACCAGGTGATTTCAAAAAGAACAATGATCTATAACCACTCACAGTGCATCTTTGAACAGGGGAGAAAAAGTAGCTAATTTAATGAAAACAGCCCTTAAGCACTTTACTTGGCTTCTAATAAGCATCCTAAGAAAAGGTACCTGAGAGGGGTTGACAAGTAGACCGTGTCTAGAACAGCCAAGATGTTTCCAAAGTTTTACGCTTTGAATTCCTAAATACATAGCTAGCAGAAACATATGCCAAAAATCTACTGATGCCAGGAAAATATTTTTGTCAGCATTTTATAAAATCTCTTAACTTTCAACCAATATTTCTGTTCATAAATCTTCCAGTGAAAATGTCTGAAATATATTACATATAACAATGAAGCAAGATTAACTTTAAATTTTAGATTTGCCTCAAACAAGTTAGTTGTTACTTTTCCTTTTAACACAACACTCAAAATAGATGAATTCAGCAAAAATGGTTTAAGAAGTTAAGGCTCTCTAAAGACTAAAACTTAAGGCACATACTATAATCTTTATGACACTGTTAAAAGCTAAGACTAAAACAAAACAAAACAAAATGAAACCTACTTCTTTCCCGTATCCTTTGCCACCAACCACTCCCTCCTCAAAGCTTATGGCATTTTAAATTCAGGCTGTTGGTAAGGAGTGAAACAAAAATCCCATAAATGAACAACTGGTATGATTTCCACGCAAATGTCCACTATTTTGCATTGAGCACCACTGGTAGATTACAGGCCAGTAGAATATTTTCAGATATCCTGGGTCATGAACTGTTCCATTTACCCTTCAGCTCCGTGGATTCAGACTGGACTTTCCTCCTCCTTGGGGCCTCCTTCTGTGCCTTTCTGGCCCGGAGATTCTGCTAGTTTGGTAACTTCCTTTGGCTTCTCAGAAACATCTATACTGGTGTCTCCCTCTTTACTTTTCTTTTTCTGCTTTTCTGCCTTCTGTTCTTTTGCCAAAAGTCGGTAATTGATGGACATACCAATGAAGAGATAGATACCTGCAATAATCAGGACTATGCCACATGCCCAGTATGTGTATTTGTAGTCTCCATACTTGTCATTGAGCTTACCTAAACATGTAAAACAACAAAAAAAGTTATGTTACTCTTATAGGTTCCCCCCCCACTGCCCAAGCAAAGCTTAAGGATCCATTCAGAAAGATGCCAATCCAATCTTTAAAGAGTCTCAAAATGATGAATTAGTATAAGGAATTGCTAAAAATTTTCTGATCCTCTGTTTATAATGTCTCATTGTTTTTAAGTGGCCTTTGCATATTCCATTATTTTCAATAACTTGAAAATAGTTAACTCTTGGCAAACTGGAATTGGAAGAGACACAGGGATCACCTAGAGTCAATTCTTTTAATACACTGTAGAAATAACTGTTGCTAAAAGAGGCTTGTGAGTCTTGCCCAATGCCATAGTGCCATTTACCCAGGCCAATGCTCTTTCTCTCTTAGCATTTCCCAGACTATTCCTGTGAACACTTGTCCAGTGCTAAAAATTTAACAGCAATATCTCACAGCCATTCTAAGTGCTTAATCCTTATAACAGGCAGATTCTACTACCATCCTCACTGGACAGATTTAAAAACTAAATTAGAGATGTTAGCTAATTTGTCCATGGTCACAAAACTAATAAGTGAAATGGCTTTAAGCCTAGAAAGTCTGACTGCACCCTTAACCATGTGCTACAAGGATACTGCTCTACTGTTTCAAAGGTCAAAGGAATTGGTAAATGGTGTATTATTTTCTCATAAAGGCTTTGTGAGGTCTGGGAGTAAAGAACCCTATTTAACTTAATGTTTCCAAATTTTATGTTGGTCATGAAACTTTTATTGTAAAATTTATTAGCATCTCATTGAACTGCTATGTCTGGGAAAATCCTACTTTACACTTAAACAGGACTTAACACAACCAATTGAGTTATGATTCCATATGGCTTTCTAACTCAGGGCATCATTCATTCAGCAATATTTATTGAACCTTTATCATATATCAGGCACGGGCTCAGCTAGGCCTTGAAGATAAGGGCGAGCAGAGTAGATAACATCCATGGATATACAAAACAATAAGGACAGTCTCCGGTACACTGTGAGCTTACATGGCAGTTATTATTATACTACTGCTACTGGAATAACCTTTTTTTCCCTTGCTTTTTGTGTGTTTTTCCAAAATTCATGGGGTGAGTGTGGTGGCTCATGCTTGTAATCCCAGCACTTTGGGAGGCCAAGGCGGGTGATCATCTGAGGTCAGGAGTTAGAGATCAGCCTGGGCAACATAGCAAAACCCATCTCTACTAAAAACATAAAAATCTGCTGGGCATGGTGTCACACACCTGTAATTTCAGCTACCAGGAGGCTGAGGTTGCAATGAGCCGAAATTGTGCCACTGCGTTCTAGCCTGGGCAACAGAGCGAGACACTGTCTCAAAAAAGGAAAAAACACTGACAATTCTAACAATATCTGATCCACCTTTTGGCTTGATGGTTTAATTTAATTAGATTCTGTATTTGAGCACTTATGCTGTGCCAAGCATTGTACCAGCACCAAGGGTACAGAAATGAGAAAGACTTGCTCTTACTCAAATAGCTCATTAATGTTTGCTTTCTGTCAGCTTTCCCATCTTATGTGCTTGTTTTATAACAGAGCTGCATTAGTAAGGAGACATACTATACCTAAAAGTGGTGGCCCCAGGAGGACAGGACAGCATTCCACAATGGTCACCAATCCCACAGCGCTGGAGAACCTCTGGGGTCCGACAAGGTCCATCAGTGTTTCAAACAATACGGAGCTGAGCCACCCAAAGGCAAATCCAAAGAATCCCGCATAGACACATAATCCAACATAGGTAGTGGATAAAGGTGCTAGCATATGACACACTCCATTTGCAATAATGGAAGCTGCAAAGAAATACTGAATTCGAGGTCTTACTAGCTTTGTGTTTGCTAAAAGTCCCATAGATGGTCTGGCTACCATGTCAACAAAAGCCAGAACGGGAAGAAGGAAGGCAGACTGCTCTCTAGAATAGTGCTGACTCTTCCCATAACTATTAAGATAGACCAAAGGTGCAAAGAGTCCAAAAAACATGATCACATTTCCAGAGAGGTAGAGCAAAAAGCCTCTGTGGGTGAATAGGGTTAAGTCCATGAACTGATTAATTGTTTGGAAGACGGATCGTTTCTCCTTTTTGGGGTGTCCTCCAATGAGATCTCTATTTGTATCGCCCTGTTCTTTTTTTGCATCAGATTTTCCAGCTTTCTGGTGGGATTCTTTAGGCTTATCTTTCCCTGCCTTGGTTGGCTTGGGTCCAATTGGTCGCATGAGGGCTCCAGCTACACAGCAGTTTAGTAGTAAGCCCCCAAGAATCAGAAAGCTTCCTCTCCAGCCAAAGAGACCGAAGAAAACCTCATTGAGGGGGGCCAGGGTAGAGAGGAACACAGGGCTGCCTGCCATTGCCAGTCCGTTGGCTAATGGTCGCTTCTTGTAGAAATACTTCCCAATCATGGTCAGAGCTGGATTCAAGTTGAAGGCAAGCCCAAGACCTGTGAAAAGGAAAAATCAATAAATACATAATAAGAGATATAAATAATGGAAAGAATAGGAGATAAAAATCCTCATTACTAGAGGACATGTTATGTAGTGGTTTAATGTGAGTTCTAAAACAGACATGGGTTCAAATCTCACTATCAGTGCTTACTGGCTGCATAATCTCGGACATGATACCCTCCTATGACTGCTTCCTAATATGTAAAACGGACACAGGGCATTGCTGTGAGGAAGAAAAGATTTGTTAAATACTTAGTACAGTGCCCAGCATGTAGTAAACACCCAATACATGTGATTTTTATTATTGTTGTTTTTATTATTTGAAGGTGAAAATTGTCTATTTTGTCAAATCTAACAAAATCATCTGAAGGATTATTATAACCATATAAAATCATTAAGTCTACAGTAGAGATAAAACAAATTTACACTAGAAATTGCAGTGGTTCATACCTATAATCCTAGTGCTTTGGGACGCCGAGGAGGGAGGACTGATTAAGGCCAAAAGTTCAAGACCAACCTGGGCAACATAGCAAGACCGGTCTCTAAAAAAGTAATTCAAAAACTAGCCGGGTGTGGCAGTGTGTGCCTGTATTCCTAGCTACTTGGGTGGCTGAAGCTGGAGTACCGCTTGAACCTAGGAGTTTGAGGCTACTGTGAGCTATGATCATATAACAGCACTCCAGCCTGGGCTATGGCACAAGAACCTGTCTCAAAAACAAAAAAGAAAGCAGGAACATAGAATGCAAAATGATCTCTTTCACTATGGCACCAAAAACTTAAAAACAGGCAATTTCTAATACTCAAATTATGAAACTTTTTTAAGAGATCAGAGAATTTAAAATACACACAAAGTTTTGGGAAAATAAAACACAACATTATTAAGATGTCAAGGTTCCTGAAATGAATATACTAATTTAATGCAATCCAATGAAAATGTGGGTGAATTTTATTGTTCAGATTAAGGTAAAATGATTCTAAAAGATACTCAGAGTGCTCACTTTAGCAGCACATATATTAAAATTGGAATGATACAGAGAAGATCAGCATGGCCCCTGCGCAAGGATGACACGCAAATTCGTGAATCGTCCCATATTTAAAAAAAAAAAAAAGAAAAAAAAAGATACTTAGAGAACACATACAGAGCTACTATGAAATTTTTGGTGGTGCAGAGGAAAAAGTGGGACCAACCAGAATAAATTTTTAAATGGCTTTACAAAACTACAATCATTAGAACAGTGTGGCCCTATTTCAGGAATCAGTAAACACTTATCAGTGCAAGTCTAGAAATACTACAAAAAGTCCAGAAACAGAGTTGAAATATATAGAAACATTTAATGTAAGATAATGACATGGAAAGATGTTCATTTTATATATATATATATATATTTTTTTTTTTGGAGACAGAGTCTCACTCTGTCATCCAGCCTGGAGTGCAATGGTGCAATCTCAGCTCACTGCAATCTCTGCCTCCCAGGTTTCAGGGATTCTGCCTCAGCCTCCTGAGTAGCTGGAATTACAGGTGCCCACCACTACACCTGGCCTCAGGTGATCTGCCCGCCTCGGCCTCCCAAAGTGCTGAGAATACAGGCGTGAGCCACCTCATCTGGCCAATATATTGTTAAGTGCAAAAAAGACTGGTTATAAAATATACGTAATTTGATCTTTTTTTGCTCTAAGAAAAGGTGCATCTGTGCATAGAAAAACACATGGAAGGATATACATAGAAATGTTAATAGTGATATTCTTTGGATTGTGAGGTTATGGATAACTTTTATTCATTATGTTCATCAATAGTTCATTATCTTAATTTACTAATTTTTCTTTTCTTGCTTTGTCGCCCAGGCTGGAGTGCAGTGGCGTGATCTCAACTCACTGCAACCTCTGCCTCTTGGGTTCAGGCAATTCTCCTGTCTCAGCCTCATGAGTAGCTGGGAATTATAGGTGCCCACCACCATGCCTGGCTAATTTTTGTATTTTTAATAGAGATGGTTTCACCATGTTGCCCGGCTGGTCTTGAACTTTGGGCCTCAAGTGATCCACCTGCCTGGCCTCCCAAAGTGCTGGGATTACAGGCATAATCCACTGTGCCTAGCCAATTTAGTGACTTTTAAAATAGGGGGGGAATTATCAAGCATATCCTCTAACCCTCAGAAATATCTACTAAAAATTTGTTTTTCTAGTACTCTTATCTGTAGTTCTTCAAAATGAGAATCAAGTAATTTCTATAAGAAAAGAATTTCACTCCAGAGAGCTGAAAGATGAATGCAGATAAAAAATACAAAATAGCCAGCAATAAATTAATGCTTGAAATGAATCGGTAGTAACTCACCTCCAATGACTCCAATACAGAAGTACAGCTCCTCTACTGTGTTACAGAAAGAAGCTGCAATCAAGCCACAGCCTGACAAGCAGCCACCAATCATTATAACTGTACGACTTCCATATTTATTCACCAGGATACTGCTGATAGGACCTAAAAGATAACCAAAAATGTAGTAATATAAAGGAAACTGCTCCCTCACATCTATACAAGTATGAATGACAATGAATGACAAACCCTCCAAAATAAAGCAGCAATGATAATATTATTGTCTATAATTATTTCTGAGTCATATGTACTAAAATAAAGATGCTAGAAAACATAATAAATTGTGCATGTTCTACATCTAAAAATACTGGATGGAATTTTCCTAAAATACAAAAGACCCGAAGTTAGTCTTTCTCTTTTAAGGCAGGGCAGGCTGAAAACATCTTGCCAACGGATGTTCACAAGGTTTTTGATGTATCTGGATATGATTAACATATATGTAGAAAATGGCCAGGAGCGGTGGCTCACACCTATAATCCCAACACTTTGGGAGGCCGAGGCAGGTGGATCACATGAGATCAGGAGTTCAAGACCAGTCTGGCCAATACAGTGAAACCTCATCTCTACTAAAAATGCAAAAATTAGCTGGGCATGGTGCTGCATTCCTGTAATCCTAGCTACTCGGGAGGCTGAGGCAGGAGAATGGCTTAAACCTGGGAGGTGGAGGTTTCAGTAAGCCAAGATCACGCCACTGCACTCCAGCCTGGGTAATAGAGTGAGACTCTGTCTCAAAAAACAAACAAAAAACACCTATGTAGGAAGTATTCTCTGTTTTAAATTTCACACAGGCAGTGATAGGAGACATATCTAAATAGGTTTTAGACTTGTATATTATCATAAATGTGGTTTGTGTTATATATTTTTTTTAAAGACAAAAGACAAAAATGTGGCCGGCCAAGGTGGCTCACACCTGTAATCTCAGCACTTTGGGAGGCCAAGGTAGGCAGATTGCCTGAGCTCAGGAGTTTGAGACCAGCCTGGGCAACACAGTGAAACTCCATCTCTATTAAAAAGAAAAAAGAAAAAAATGCATGATCATTTTTTCCAAGTTTAAGTAGTTTTGCTTAGGTCATCTTGATTAAAAAGAAAAAGTTTCTAGTTTCTAGTTACATCTAAATTCAGATACTAAACCAGGTGTAGTGGTGCATGCCTGTAGTCCTAGCTACTCAGGAGGCTGAGGCAGAAGAATCACTTGAACCCAGGAGGCGGAGGTTGCAGTGAGCCAAGATTGTGCCACTCCAGCCTGGGCAACAGAATGATGCTCATGTCTCAAAAAATAAAAAAACAAAAAACAAAAATCCCCCCAAATATATCTTTCAGAATTACTTGGTTCTATGCCTATATTAAGTTTCGTGGTAGTACAACTGTGAAAAAATACTTGCAGGATAAGATTAATTCAGATAACAGTCAACATAACCTTGGGTGTAACAAGAGAATAGGAAATAGAGTATTATCAAAGAAAACCAGTGTAAATTTCCTCAGCTAACTACATGCACATAAAAATCAGCATTTCTTATATGTAAGAAAAGGAACCAAAGGAAAAGCATGATAAGAAACAAGAAGATACTTTATGCATTTCATGTATCAGTTTTTTGTTTGTTTGTTTTTTGTGACCAGTCTCCCTCTGTGGCTAGAGTGCAGTGGCGCAATCACAGCTCACTGTAGCCTCAACCTCCTGGGCTCAAGTAATCCTGCCGCCTCTGCCTCCAAAAGTGCTGGGAATTATAGGCATAAGCCACCATGCCCGACCCATGTATCAGTTTTTGAAAAGAGAAATCAAATGTCAAGTGGCCTCTTTTTTTTTAAATTTAAATTTGAATCAAGGTCTTGTTCTGTCACCCAGGCTAGAGGGTAGTGTTATGACCACAGCTTACTGTGCCCTCAATTCAATCTGCCTGCCCAGCCTCCCAGGTAGCTGAAACTTCAGGGAACATGCCACCATGCTGGGTTAATTTTTGTATTTTCTTTTTTTCTTTTTTTGGGACGGAGTCTTGCGCTGTCGCCTGATCTTGGCTCACTGCAACTTCTGCCTCCTGGGTTCAAGTGATTCTTCTGCCTCAGCCTCCCAAGTAGCTGGGACTACAGGCACGTGCCACTAAATCTGGCTAATTTCTGCATTTTTAATAGAGGTGAAGTTTTACCACATTGGCCAAGCTGGTCTCGAACTCCTGACCTCCTGATCCGCCCACCTTGGCCTCCCAAAGTGCTGGAATTACATGTGTGAGCCACCGTGCCAGCCAGTTTTTGTACTTTTTATAGAGACAGGGTTTTACCATGTTGCCCAGGCTGGTCTTGTAACTCTGGGCTCAGGTGATCCACCTGCCTAGGCCTCCCAAAGTGCTGGGATTACAGGTGTGAGCCACCGTGCCTGGCTTTCTCTTCTTACTTGCTATAAACAGGTATAATTTGTAATCTGCCTTTTCCAAATTTAGAAATCTTAATTACAAGAAAGCGTTATCCAAACCTAGAGTCTATTTCTAAAATTACATATTGAATATACATATTCAGAATATACTGACAATCGCATATTGGCATATTCTAGTTCCATAAATACTATGAAAAATTCTTCAGTTATTTATAGTTTAGTATTACTATTCAGAGTTGTGGTATAGTATACTAATATTAAAATGATAGGCTGTAGCCCCAGGGCATCCTATTTTAAGTTATGGTTCCACCATATTATTGTCTTTGTTTCTCAGAGGTTATTATTAAACTACCTTATAGGATTGTTGAAAGAATAAAAAATTAACTAGGCCGGGCGCAGTGGCTCACGCCCATAATCCCAGCACTTTGGGAGGCCGAGGCGGGTGGATCGCGAGGTCAAGAGATTGTGACCATCCTGGTCAACAAGGTGAAACCCCGTCTCTACTAAAAATACAAAAATTAGTTGGGCATGGTGGTGCGCACCTGTAGTCCCAGCTACTTGGGAGACTGAGGCAGGAAAATTGCTTGAACCCAGGAGGCGGAGGTTGCAGTAAGCCGAGATCGCGCCACTGCACTCCAGTCTGGGTAACAACAGCGAAACTCCGTCTCAAAAAAAAAAAAAAAAAATTAACTAATACAGTATATGTGAAGTGTTTAGTAGGTCCTCAATAAATATTGGCAGTGATCATACTACTACTGTACATGCTTATTTATGCTTTCACATGACACAGACAGAGGGTGCTCTCTATCTCCATCCATATAGATATAGATGCATGTCTGTATATATACATATGATAAGCCTGTTAAGAAGGAGTTAAAGCTTTTTTTTCTTTTTACTTTTTTTTTTCCCCTCTAGAGGTTGCCTAAGGAATTAAAGCTTTTGATTTTTCATGTGTTTCAGAGGACCAAGTCTCTCTAAAATGCTAGATCAAGAACTGGCTGCCTCGGCCAGGCCCAATGGCTCTCACCTGTAATCCCAGCACTTTGGGAGGCTGAGGTGGGCGGATCACCTGAGGTCAGGAGTTCGAGACAAGCCTGGCCAACATGGCAAAACCCCATCTCTACTAAAAACACAAAAATTAGCCAGCTGTGGTGGTGGGCACCTATAATTCCAGCTACTCAGGAAGCTGAGGTTGTAGTGAGCCAAGATCATGCCACTGTACTCTAGCGTCGGCAAGAGTGAGGCGCTGTCTCAAAAAAAAAAAAAAAAAAAAAAAAAAAACTGGCTGCCAGGAGAGATTTCATGCTTAACCCAAGATGTGCTTAAAGCAGTTTTTACTGCTACCTTCTAAGTTCTTGCTATGGTCTGAATGTTGCTAACCCCCCAGAATTCGTATGCTGTCAGTACCTTATAAAAAGTGAACTGAGGGAGTTTGTCTTCCCTTCTGTCACATGAGGACACAGTCAGAAGGCACCATCACTAGTTATCTAGTTTGCTGGCACTTTGATCTTGGACTTCCCAGCCTCCACTGTGAGCAGTACATTTCTATTGTTTATAAATTATCCAGTCAAAGGTACTTTGTTACAGCAGCCTGGACAGACTAAGACAATCAATTCATGAAAATATTAGATCACAGCTAATTTGAAAATAATTTGAGCCAGGCATTGTTGCTCACATCTGTAATCCCAGCACTTTGGGAGGCCAAGGGAAGGCAGATCGATTGAGTACAGGAGTTTGAAACCAGCCTCGGCAACGTGACAAAACCCCATCTGTACAAAAAATAAAAAAGTTAGCTAGGACCGGTAGTCCTAGCTACTCAGAAGCTGAGTAGGGGGATCGCTTGAGCACAGGTGGCAGAGGTTGCAATGAGCAGAGATTGTACCATTGTACTTAGCCTGGGCAATACTCTGTCTCAAAAAGAAAAGAAAGAAAATAATTTGAATTTATAGCTTATGTAAGATGAAATAATTGCATACTGAAATAATACTTATAAAATATTTTTAGGCCAGGTGCTGTGGCTCACACCTGTAATCCCAGCACTTTGGGAGGCTGAGGCAGGTAATCACCTGAGGTCAGGAGTTTGAGACCAGCCTGGTCAACACAGTGAAACACAGTCTCTACTAAAAATACAAAAATTAGGTGGGCGTAGTGGTGCACGCCTGTAGTCCCAGCTACTTGGGAGGCTGAGAAGAATTGCTTGAACCAAGGAGGCGGAAGTTGCAGTGAGCAGAGATCATGCCACTGCAGTCCAACCTGGTCAACAGAGTGAGACTCTGTCTCAAAAAAAAAAATTTTTAAGTTAGTCATAAGATTATGTACAGTCAGAATTACAAAGAAAAGTACCAGGACAGGCATGGTGACTCATGCCTGTAATCCCAGCTCTTTGAGAGGCCAAAGCGGGCAGATTGTTTGAGCCTAGGAGTTTAAGATCAGCCTGGGCAACATTGCAATACCCCATTCTCTACAAAAAACTACAAAATACAAAAATTAGCCGGGCGTGGTGGTGCGAGCCTGTAGTCCCAGCTACTTGGCAAGGTAAGGTGGGAGGATCAATTGCCTGAGCCCAGGGAGGCTGATGCCACAGTTGGCAGTGATTCTGGCACTGCACTCCAGCCTGGGTGAGAGTGAGAAACCCTGTCTGAGGAAAAAAAAAGACAAAGATCGCTACCACGATATCACCACACTGTTGACTGTGTGATAGAAGTTAATGCTGTAGAAGTTTTTGAAATATTTAAAATTCCAAACCACAAGTGTTAAGATGACCATTGTGGAACTGAAAATATGTAAATTTATATTTTCAGGTTTAAAAAAAAACAGAAAAACCAAAAGTAGGCAGCTAAGATCTCTTACCCCCAAAATATATTTTAACAACCACCACTGTATATCTCTGACCCAAAGCACTAAAAAAGAAAACAAAACCAACCATATCTCAAAACATATCAGTGTTCAGATTGTGGTCCAAGTGAACAAGTTAAAGGATTATGACAGTTGTCTAAAAGTGATGAAAACTATTAGGGGATACACTACTTAGAAGTCAAACAAAACAAAATAACCTATTTAGTAAAAATTCTGCAAGAAGGCTCATGATAGGCATTTTGTCCTTTAGTGTTATTTCAGGAAGGATGGCCCTAATTAGCTATCGTTAAAAATAGGAAGGAGTACGGTTTACAGGCCTATTATAAGCTAAAAAAATGTGCTAGTTATCTCACAAATTGAGTAAGGACAAAGAAGGAACTGTTTCCTCAAAGAAAAGTGTCATGTGCTATTAATCAAACTGACATCATTTACTTTTGATGCAAAACACAAGTGGCTCTTTAGCTCTCTGGTAGCACAGAATTGCAACATGTAAACTTCTGGTTTGCAGTCAACTTAAGAACACACTGAACACCTGGAGTACCTCTGTATAATGTTTATACCAATTTCTTCAAGCCATCATAGTCAAAACCTGATTAAAATCCTGGCAGAATGGAGTTCTAAACCTGAAAACTTATTGGCTCTCAGAAGCTAATGCCCAAAGTACCTTTTGATTTCTCTGAACTTATTAAAAAAAACAAAACAAAACTACAATTTAGCAGTTAAGTCCTTTAATTTAATAGACAAAATAGGCCTATGTTTAAAATGTAAAAGGCACAAAAAGATAAACAGTGGAAAAACGACTGGGCGCTGTGGCTCACACCTGCAATCCCAGCACTTTGGGAGGCTGAGGCAGGTGGATCAAGAGATCCATGAGGTCAAGAGATCAAGACCATCCTGGTCAACATGGGGAGACCCCCCCCCCCAATCTCTACTAAAAATACAAAAATTAGCTGGGCGTGGTGACACGCGCCTGTAGTCCCAGCTACTTGGGAGACTGAGGCGGAAGAATCCTTGAACCTGGGAGGCAGAGGTTGCAGTGAACCGAGACTGCACCACTGCACTCCAGCCTGGCGACAGAGCGAGACGCTCTGTCTCAAAACACCCAAAACCAAAAACAAAACACAGTGGAAACATAAGTCTTTCTACTCCTGTTCCCAGCCACCCAGTTTCTCTCTCTCCATGGCAGCCAGTTACCTCTTTCTTCTGTACAATTTAATTATAGATTTAATGAAATTATTATTTTAACTGCTTATTCCTGTTTCATGATCACATATTGTCTCAAAAGGATTATAAACTTCTCAAAGCAAGGGATCAGTGTTTTCCGTTACTCACAACACCTGGCCCAGTGCTGAATATATTCATAGAACTTGATACATATTGGTTGAATCTGCCACCACCTTAGCAGCCTAAGGCTAAGTTATTTATAACTGAAACCTAGAATCCTTATATTGGCTAGAAACAGTGTTTTAAATCATGTTAAGTAATCAACTCACTCTCTACATTTCCTTTACAATATGCCAAAGAAAACAAAAGAGAAGGAAATGATAAAACAAGTTTAGGATGCAGCTGACATACTTTTAGGACTCATGACATCACAAGTAATACGGAGGAGGTTTTAGTCACTTAATTCTAACATCATATAAAGATTTTACCTGAGACTTTGAACCATGCCATTCAGGCTATTCTGATTTATTTTGATTCTCCCAACATCAATTTTTAAAAATCTGTATTTGTTTACATTTCAAGAGTCTAGCAGAGACAACAACAACAAAAAAAGTTGTGCATACATCATTTTTATAACAGTCTTTTAAGTTCAGTGATACTTCAGTTGAAGCAAATCAGGGTCCCTCACAATTTCTCATTTCTGTTTTGGAATACTATAGTTTACTAGAGCAAGAGTTGCTGTTGTTATCAGGAATGAAAAATATGATTCTAAACACCAAACTTTAAGAAATAACATTTCAAAACATCTCAGGGAATAAGTTTTTTTTTTTTTTAAGTTACCTGACACACAGACTCTGGCTGCTTCATGAAAATGAAAAGAGTAGGCCTTAATGGGTACTTACCTCCACCGTACATGACAGCCAACATTATGGAGGATATCCATGACACTTGGCTGCTGGTAGCATGGAACAGACTTTCAATCTCTTTGAAGAAGACAGTAATAGATTTGGGAAATGCGTAAGAGAAGCCAATGGAAATGAAAGCTCCAACTACCACTGCCCAGCCCCAGCCTCCATCTGGGGGAGTGTATCCAACTGGACCTCCAACTGCTGGTGGCATTTCAAGTGTAGATAAATTCCAAAATGGAGGTCAAATCCAAATATCTGAAAGATATAAAATTAAAATAATATGTCAATATAAGGTACACCTACAAAACTCTTTTGTGAAATAAGAAATATTGCCAGGTGTGGCCGATCATGCCTGTAATCTCAGCTACTTGGGAGGTTAAGGCAGGAGGATCATTTGAAGCCAGGAGTTCACAATGCCTGAGCCACACAGATCCTGTGTCTAAGAAATTTTTTTTTTTGAGATGGAGTCTCACATTGATCCCTTGGGCTGGAGTACAGTGGCCTGATCTCAGCTCACTGCAACCTCCGCCTCCCAGGTTAAAGAAATTCTCCTTGCCTTAGTCTCCCAAGTAGCTGGGATTACAGGTACCCACCACCAAGCCAGGCTATTTTTTTTTTTTTTAACATTTTTAGTAGAGACGAGGATTCCCCATGTTGGCCAGGCTGGTCTCGAACTCCTGACCTCATGATCTGGCCACCTCAGCCTCCCAAAGTGCTGGGATTACAAGTGTGAGCCACTGTGCCTGGCCAGGAAATTGTTTTTAAATCTAGGTATGGTAGAGCATGCCTGTAGTCCTAGCTACTCAGGAGGCTGAGGCAGGAGGATCACTTGTACCCAGGAGTTTGAGACCAGCCTGGGCAACATAGGTAGATCTCAACTCTAAAAAAAAACTCATAGCTAGACATGGGGGTGCACGGTGCCTGTGGTCCCAGTTACTCAGGAGGCTGATGTGGGAGGATCACTTGAGCCTGGGAGGTAGTGGCTGCAGTAAGCTGTGATTGTGCCACTGCACTGTGGCCTGGGCGAAAGATCAAGAACATGTCTCAATCAATCAATAGGTAAAAAAGGCCTGATGAACTTCCGGGTTGGTCAGTGCATCCATGTGCAGGGAGGATAGCATACCTCAAAACTCCACAGGAGAAAACGCTCCTGGACCTGGGGACCCTTCCTGACCTTGTCCTATGTACTTCCTCATCTGGCTGTTCATATGTATCCTTTACAGTATCCTTTATAATAAACTGGCAAACATACATGTTTCCTTGAGTTCTGTGAGCCTTTCTAGCAAATTAAATCCAAGGAGAGGGTAGTGGTAGCCCGAATTATAGCTGGTCAGTCACAAGCACAGGTGACAACCTACTACGTATGTATGATTGGTGTGTGAAGTGAAGGCCCCAGTCTCGTGCAACTGGGCCCTTAACCTCGTATCTAACTCCAGGTAGTTGAAGTGAAAATTGAATTGAATTATGGGACACCAAGTTGATGTATCCCACAGAATTGCCTGGTATATGCAGGGGAAAAAAACCCACACATCTGGTTAAGTAGTATTCTGTGATGTGCTGAGGGTTGACCGTGTAAGAGAAAAAACGTGTTTTTCTCCTTCAGATCTTTACAACTAGCTCTCAAGTAAATGAATTGTTTTTTTAATGTTACTTGTCTAGTAGACATTATCTTCTTTTAAAGACATTATCAGAAAAAGTATTAGAGTCATAGTATTACCCTTAATTTTTTGTAGCTTAAAGAAAAATAGCTTCTCACCACTTAAAATCATAATTGAAATAAATCATTTTCAATAAATCCATTAACATCATAATTCCTTAAATTACTATAGATAACTAAATGCCCCATTTGACTTAACTGCAACCTGCTTGCAAAATTCACATAATACTTAACCTACAAACACTTTAGGTTTTAATATAACCTTTGTAAGTTTTTTACCTTTTCTAAAATGTATTTTTCCACAGTTTATTTTTACATTCTCTTATTTATGGCTGATGTTAAGTACCAGGAAGTAAGTGCCCGACTCACTAGATATGTACCCATTTACAAAAATAAGACAATTCTGAATACACTAAATTTTCACTTAACAGGCTGGGGGACAACCCGAAAAGTTTCCTTTTATCTAATAGCTTTGCTTCAAGGTATTTTTCCCCATTATATGACAAGAAACTCCTAAACAACAGCTAGTCAATACAGTTAAAATCAGAAATTGAAATATGATGTCAAAAGAAGGCAGTTTTAGGCCGAGCACAGTGGCTCATGCCTGTAATCCCAGCACTTTGGGAGGCCGAGGTGGGTGGATCACCTGAGGTCTAGAGTTCGAGACCAGCGTGACCAATATGGTAAAACACCATCTCTACTAAAAGTACAAAAATTAGCAAGCCATGGTGGCATGCGACTGTAGTCCCAGCTATGAGAAAGGCTGAGACAGGAGAATTGCTTGAACCTGGGAGGTGGAGGTCGCAGTGAGCCGAGATTGTGCCACTGCACTCTAGCCTGAGAGACAGAGCAAGACTCCGTCTCA